TGCTATTCATCACCTCTGTTTGTCACCTGCTATTCACCACCTCTGTTTGTCCTTTGCTATTCACCACCTCTGTTTGTCCCCTGCTATTCACCGCCTCTGTTTGTCCCCTGATATTCATCACTCCTGTTTGTCTATTGCTTTCCATTACCTTCGTTTGTTCCCTGCTATTCACCGCCTCTGTTTGTCCTTTGCTATTCACCACCTCTGTTTGTCACCTGCTATTCACCACCTCTGTTTGTCCCCTGATATTCATCACTCCTGTTTGTCTATTGCTATTGCTATTAATAACCTCTGTTGTTCCTTGCTATTCACAATTTTAGTTTGTCCCCTAGTATTCACTTTCTTTTTGTCCCCAGCCATTGACCATCTTAGTTTGTATACTGCCATTTATAACCTCCTGTTTATCCCCTGCTATCCATCACCTCTGTTTGTCCCCTGCTATCTATCACCTCTGTTCGTCTACAAAAAAACCACAATTGAAACGGAAGGATCAGATCGTTTACTTTCTCCTCTAGAAGATCTTCCATCCTACATGTCTCATGGTAACCTGGTTGAGTTTTGGATCAGCATTCAGGAGATAAATTCACACAGGGGTGACTTCCTCTACAGGAATCTTGCTTCACCAACAGTTTTGAGTGTGACCTATTCTAATGCTAATGTTGAAAGAGCATTTAGCATACTCAGAAAGTTAGACACAGACAGTAGGGGCAATTTACCTAATGAAACCACAAATGTATTGATGAGTGTCAAGTTAAGCAAGGAGGTGCTTCAGCAAATGGTGTATAATGGTCTGTATACTGTATTTGACATAACCAGATGTTAAAAAAACAATAAAAGATGATGTCCTACTGTAATAAATGCGTTGATTTTTCTGTTTTAAAAGTCTCACTAATTTCTCAGGTAAAAAAATCTCTCTAATTTTGGTCCAATCTTACTAAAAATATTCATTGATCTCACTTTTAAGTAACAAAAATGTATGGCATGTATGCTGAACTCTTTCAGCTTGTATAGTACATGTAATTTCTTGAGAGCTGATCTCGGGTGCTTTAGTACACCTATCATATAACATACAATCTATTTCAAATAATCACACTTATGTAATTCTATATTTGTTTTACAAGGATCACAAAGATTCATTGGCTCTGAGTCATACTTGCCAAATTCTCAGAACTGATTTAAATAGCTTACATGTATATGCTTGCTAAGGAAGATAGTGATCTGGTCATATAAATAGTAGACTGCATTGGAGTTTATATCCGGGATAATATTTATAGTACCATAACACTGGTCAAATTTTATCGGTCACGTTTATGCCTGAAAAATTTGTAAAAAAATCATTCTTGGAAAAGGAAAGGCTTTACAATACAGATTAATAAATTTTATACATACAAGTATTCGTTTTGATTATGTTAATTTAACATTGTGTTGCTTGTTACCAAAATGAAACACAATCTAACTTGAATATCTTGAAATAATTTGGCCTTGACACTGCATCCCCCTCATTTATTATATCATTTTAGTGCCTGCATACAGCTGCTGTTGTTGCTGCTTAACCGTCGTCGTCATTAGCCAGGTCCATCCATCTTCGAGGGTTTCAACCCCTAACCTGGAACTCTCTCCGGATGGTGGGTCAACAGGGGTGATCAGTCCCTACTCTCTGACGGTTGGCTTCCAGCTACTGTCTCCACTCCGCATCAACAGCCATCGTGATGCCCGTTCCGCTTCAGTCCCCAACTCTCTCACTGCCGTCTTCCTTACTCCTCCTATGATACTGAGGGCTCCGAGCATCCTCCAGCATGATTGGGCCGGGAATCCTCTGCAGCCTACTTTCACAGGAAAGTTCCATGCCCGCCAGCCTTTTCTGCCACACTCCTCTGTCAGCTCCGCATACTTGCTCTTCTTCCGATCGTGCGCTGATCCACACCTCGTTTCCCACGGCACAGTCAGTTCCACTATCACCAGTTTCGTCTTGCTGGGTGATAACAACACTATGTCTGGTCGTAGTGTTGTCTCCAGGATCTCCGGAAAAAACAATTTCTTCCCTCCAAGATCCACAAATAATTTGGCCTTGACACTGCATCCCCCTCATTTATTATATCATTTTAGGGTTATATTTATTTGCTTGAAGACTGAATTTTACATTTTATACCAAATAAATGTATATTAATTGGAGATATCAAAGTATGAATATAAATGAAAACTGGACCAACACAGGATATTTGCTTTGTATGGTTCATTATTAAATGTCACAATATTTCACGTCCGACTGGTTCCTTCGTCAGTCAAGCTATGAGTCATAGCTAGAGGAAGGGAACAGTCTGTGTTGAAACGTTGCAACACAGTTGATATGTACATTGTTTATGCATAAATTAAATCTTTGATACGTTACTTGTCTTCAGCATATATATATTCAAGTAATTTTCAAGGTATATTGAGCGCAAATTCCAGACTTTTCAATGGTACACATATTTTCAAGCATTATGAAAAGTTTCTTGTTACACAACCAATAAGTGTTTCTATGCGACGTTTCAATGACTAGTACGGTATGTACTCTGTCACCTTCATCAGACAAATGACCAGTGAAGTGTATGCACTCGAAGGTGTAAAATGTACTATTGTACATACGCTTACAGCGTAACCAAATCAGCATCGTTTTTGGTGGACAACATCATATATTGTATGGTAGTGCCACTTTATAGCCCTACTCCATTCAGATGGCATTCATTTAAGCTATGAATGTCATAAGGCGATTGTTGACAATAACATTTATCATTAAAAGTTCTTTTTACACAACCAAATGTTTTTTCTATGTGACGTTTCAATGACTAGTACGATATGTACACCGTCACCTTCATCAGACAAATGACCAGTGAAGCGTATGCACACAATGGTGTAAAATGTGTATGAGTTGTCCACAAATCGATGTCGATTAAACAAAGCGTAGCTGAATCGAGTCATTTCGGTACGTACGCTTACAGCTTAGCCGAACTGACATTTATTTGTGGTAAGAAACTTTTCATTATCCATACTTATTAACATGAAGAAAATGTTTAGAACTATTTTCAAGTGGTTTTTAAACTCTGGCATCAATTCCAGCAGTTGTCACTGCCTGTACCGACCATGGGTTTACAGACTACAAGATAACAATGTTTGACTATATTTGTTTACGTAGTAATCCTTCCTTTAAAAGACTAAAGAAAAGCTACGGAATCGTAGATTTATGTTTATTTTGAAAAAAAAAGTGTCATTTTATGTAAACTTGGCAATTGACCATCCAATGAAATGGTGGAAGTTAATATTTTGAAATACAGAATTTCCTTCCCTGTTATTCACAAAATTTCAGCAACACAAGGGAGACAATTTGGCAGACTTGTAGCTGAACAAAATACAACCGGTACAAATTATTGTACAGTCAAAGAGGGGATAATTTCAAATTTTGTGCATTTCAGTGGCACAGAAATGACACATATACTGATCTAAGGGAGATAATTTTTTCCCAAATGTTGTTGTGTTTTCCTGTAAGATTTTGGTACCCACACTCTGCAGAACTGTTTTGATAGTAGTAACTAAATTATGTATATTATGTATTAAATTGTGTCTTACACAAAGTGTACTACATGTATCGCAAATGTTAAGATTTCATTTGTGATTATGTTTCAAAATGTAATCTTCCACCCTTCTTGCTTTGTAAAATTTTAAATTATACTCAATCAAAGGATTGTGTGTTCTATAAATGTGGCTGGACAATGCAAGAACACATGTTGATGCAGTTATTTAAAATCTTCCTCTTTATAAATAACACTGATCAATGGAAATGTCAACTACCGAAGAAATGGCACATGAAAACTCTGTCCTAGGTGTGCTAGATATCTGAAACTACAGGTAACAAGTAGTTTTTCCACCTTACCGGTCCCTGTGAGGTGTTGAAAACGATATGGTAGATGAATTTTGCTTCAGCAATAAGTCTTCATAGTCATTTCAGAATCAGCTCAAACAAGTTTTCTATCATATTTCATTGTTTACAGTAAATGATGAAGACTGGTTATATTGAAAGTTTGTAGAGTCCCAAACTTAAAAAGCTTGAAGAGTCAAAAACTTGAAGTTAACTTGTTTTTAATTTAACCAAGGTAATTTCCAATAAATGGAAAATGCAGGTATATGAATAGGGAAATACCTAATGTATTTCAATCTACCTGTAAGCAGTATCTCAAAATTAGATTTCATATAAAGTGCGATTGTCTGTATCATACTGTAAATCTATTTTAATAATATTTTTATGCTAATGAACATATTCACATTTCAATCATTATTAGCATTTAAACATGGGAAATATATGTTATTGTTCATTTTGATAAAATGAAAAAGTTAACAATTAAAGTTGGACATTCGGAAACATTCACAAAAAGAAATATTTCTAACACTTTAAATTTAGAGATTGATGCTAGAATACATTTAATACGAAAACTTCATTCTGATCTAGTATTTTAATAATAGTTGCCTCATCACTAACCATCATTTATTGTATCTGACAATAACAACTGAAGATCAATTGACAAAATTAGTGTTACACTTCCTCTTCATTTACAATTTTGTCAATGTCACCAAATAGATACCCAGAGTAACCTTATTAATACAGAGATAGTTTATCAGGAAAGTCCATTCTCACAAATCTTTTCATAGAACTGGCTTTAACATCCAGAAAACTAAATCTCAAAGACCTATTTTTCGAAAGTTCAGTTCAAATTAGCTTCAATAACAAGATTTCCACGGGATTGGATGTGTCGCCTGCTCAGCACTTTTAATAAGAAAAGTGTTTTGGCTCGAGTTATCGCGTAAACAGATATGGCAAAACGCGGAAAGTTTAAACTCGACAGAAAAACCTGTAATATATGTTAAACATTATTGCTTCTAGCAAATTACCGTACAAAATTTGAAAGGAACTGATTGAAAAATAAAAAATTTACAACACAATGCCCTTATTTGGCAATAAAAAAGGGCATGATTCACCAAAAATGCACGTAAACTTCTGAAATGCGAACTTGTCCGAGCTATTTTGGTATGAAATATGTGTACAAAGTTTGAGTTCAATCAACCCAAGGAAACTCAAGTTATCGCATGGGAACCTTGTTTCGGACAACGCAACCGATGATGCCGACGCTGACAAAGTAATATCTATATATCGCCTGCAAAGTGAGCTAAAAATTCTTACGATTCATTTGTATGTGCCTTAGACATTTTCCTAACGATAAAATGATGACTGATTGATTGATGGGCCTTTCTTGTCCTTACCGATCCTAGGACAAAAGATGAAATGCTTCAAACCGTCAAGGTTTTTGAAGTCTCAAATATTGGAATTAGCCTTTATAGATATATCCCCCTTAGAGTCAAAATGTGAAGACTAGGCAGTTTCAAATCAAGTTCATTTACAAACAATTCAGTTATACATCTCATGTAAAACAAAACAAAATTATTGCAATTCAAAAATCTGTATAAAAGCATGCATATGTCAGGCATTAAACATAATGCTGTCATTTAGCCACCAGGCAAGTTCCAGAACACATTTACAGACAACAAATGGTGTCTCACAGCTACAGATTCGTGCATGAAGAAAACATTATACACAAGATCTTCCAAAAAAGAAAACAGAGAGATGTTACAATTCAAAATCAAAAACTTTGTTTCAGACAGTTAAATTGCTATACACTTCAATACTGAACTAGTTCATATGTCATACAAAATCTTAAACAAAGGTTCTCTCCACAATAACCTTTTTTTTTAAAAGTCTGTTCAAGGAACACTTATGGTTAACAAATTTTAGCACGTTTATAAATTACCCATAATAACAATAAAAACAATTAGCACTTCAAATTCAAAAAATTTCATTAGAGACTTTTGTTATAATCTTCAACTCGGAGACAAAAAAATATGTCTTGTATAAAATTATGTTTTAAAACTTCAGCACCACAAAACTTTAAATATTCCACACGCATGACAACATAAGGTGGATATAATAAATTGTTTTCGTTCTCTTGCTGTATCAACACTCATGGGTTCCAAAGATGTCCAAGGAAATGGCAGAATCACTGGGGTCCTGAATCAGGATTCAGGAGGTCAATGACATCCCAGGGGTACGTTGGATTGTTTCAGGTCTTGGTTTTTGGGGAGAAGAAGCTGGACAAACTCTTCATACCAGATTTGTCCACTTTACTGAGTAGTGACTGGGCCTTGTTCATCTTGACAGCCTGCAAAAGTTCAGAATCTATAAGTTTTTTCTACCCTTTCATAAAAATTCAAAACTCTAGTCCCGAGATAAAGGTATCATATAATCAATCCAATTGACTTCAACACTGAGGGAGTATATTCATGACTCAATATCTTCAATAAGATTCATCAGTTTGCAAATATGTAACATCAAAGTTTTAACTTTATACCCAAACAGCGTGTGCATTAAACGTGTCTCAACCTTTCAAGATAAACTGCTGGTTCCTTTGTCAAGCTATGACCACAGAGCTTAGCTTAGCTTGACAAAGGGACCAGTTTGTCTTGAAGGTCAATTGTGACATGTTAAACCCTTTCACCCCTATGTAACTTTAATTAACTCTACCATGAATTGTTCTGGATAAGTCCATTATGGTCTACAGTGTTGAAAGAGTTAATGTGTACATTGTTTGTGTACGTATTTCAAAACCTAAAGCTTGATAAAACAAGGCATCACAAGTGATACACATCTCCTCGCATTCACATATTGTGACATATGTAATAGGAAATGAAGTCGCTAGAGAGATGACAAATGGTTTTCTAAAAAATAGTAACAATCCTTCAAAGTAGAAACCCGAAATACAAACTTGTTCAAGGTGTTGTCATACTAAACACTTGTATGAAGTTTCATGAAATTCCGTTGAGGAATGATGTCGCAAGAGTGATGATAAAGAGTGTAACATAGGTAGGGCTGAATCCTATATCCCCTCGAACTTTCGTTGCGAGGAGATAATTATTGTTTATATTAACTGAAATCTTGTTTGCAAAATTACTGCAAGTTTCTTAAGTCACAGAGGCAGTCAATGTGCAACTCACAAACATGCAGATACTTCGAGCAAATAATTGCAAATATTTCCAAAACTTTATACTATTTCCTGGTTCCTTGTGATTTCTATATATTTTCTAATACTGGAAAATAATCAAATTTGTTTTTTCTTAATTAATATCATTCTGAAAAACACATTCTGTTAATGTATCAAGACTTCATGAAAGTTAGATTGTCAACTGAATAATAATCAAGCACAGGCTTCAATTTCAAAATGCTTGACATTTAGATTGATTTCCTCAAATTTCATCCAAATTGATATATTTTTTGAATTTCATTGTTGTCACTGCAAACAATATTAAAACAATTACAAAATTCAACACAATCCTTGGATATCTACCTATCAAACTGTTTTCTTACCTTAGTTTTAACATTAACTTTACCCAGACTGTAATCTTCTGTTGGACCAGAATTTTCTGTTTTTATTCGCTGCAAAAAGAAAATAAGGAGTAAAATTGGCATGGTGTTCAAACATTTTTTGTGTTTGCTGTATACATTTTAACTACATATCTTGAAAACTGTACTTATACAATATTTCTTTTGAACACAAGAATGGTTCAGAATAGTACATGTATTCATATAATTACAAGTAAGGCTAAAAATCTAAATTGTTAGTTACCCAGGTATATATACATTAAACAAGCCATTCGGATTGATATGTCTCACCTGTACCCCGCTTTGACCATCAATGCACATGTCAAGTTTGGCTTGTCTAGCACTTATAGTTTAAGAGAAACTAACTTAAATGCAAAAACTTCATGTCGATGGAGATGCTGACAAAGTCAATGGACCATGAAAGGTAGGCCGCATCCAGCATTTGATGCATGGTTTAATATATACTACCTAAGATGCATCCATGGTCCAATTTTGGTTTGTCTAGCACTTATACTTTCAGTGAAACTAACTTAAACGCAAGAACTTCATGTTGATAGAGATGCTGACAAAGTCAATGGACCATGAAAGGTAGGCCGCATCCAGCATTTGATGCATGGTTTAAGATATACTACCTAAGATGCATCCATGGTCCAATTTTGGTTTGTCTAGCACTTATACTTTCAGTGAAACTAATAACTTGAACACAAAAACTTAATGTTCATGCCGCTGTCAACAGAGAAAAAGCAACACCTTAGTCTCGCTTCCGCTACTTCGTGGCGGCCAGACAAAAAATAAAACTTGACAAGGGAAGTCAAACAATAGCGTTAAACACTGTTATTGGAACCTTGATCTCTGCACTAGTGTTCCTGAGATCAAGGATCCCTGTCCAACTGCAGGCAAAACACGACGATTCCATTGTGCTTTTTTGCATATACAATGTCCTTTCCTTAATTATGTTTTAATATCTTTAGCACACAGTGACAGGGCACTTTGTTGGTAGGGGCAATAGTATACCAATTACAAATTGAAGACTTGAACCCTGATCTAGCCCTGTTGATTCTTTTTCACTCAAAACATGTTGATTTGAAATAACAGTATATTTCGTGTATTTTTTCTTTATTATTTCTGCACAAAAGTCACACAAGGTATGGTTTTCTTTTCAGAAATGATTTAACAAAGGTATAATCACCAAAAAAAAAATACCAGATTCAAATACATGTACATAGTTATCGTTTTAGGCAGTGGAACAGAAATCTATATGACTTAAACTTCAGTTTTACTTTACTATTGTTATTAGTATAATATGAACTACACAACGAAGATAATTTCCCTTTATATAAATGCTTTAGTCTGTAGGCCTTTACATGATATTTTATCTTGTACCACTCACCTTAGCTGGAGGTTCTGATGCGTCCGTCTTTTCTGGTTCTTCAGGTAATCTGCAAAAGTAATAAATGTGAGATCGGAGTTGAAAAGGTGTTCGACTTGAGTTTGATCAGTCGTTTAATATCTTGGCTACTGATTTTCAAACTGCAGTAAAACTCAGGACCGAGGGAAACATTCCTGCAATCTGCTGCATTTCATTTAAGCACCTTGAAAATCCTGTCAATCAAACGACAGCTCTATAGAAACAAAATGTAAAACGAAAAATACTAACCCAAGGGAGATAATTCAACGCTTTTCATTGCATATCACATTAATGCAGAAAAAGTCTTTCTTTTTCTGCTTTATTAAGTTTATAACTGCAGTAAACCTAACCTACACTCACCCAATAGCTGTTAATAGGACATAAAACACAAACAAACAAACAAACAAACCAAACACTCACCCAAGATGTACTAGCAGTTCTTCGCCTAGAGCTAAAGGCAGGTAGTCGCATACCATTCCGTGGGCAAATCGTCGATAATCATCTGCAACAGAAGACAATTTTTACCTTCTAAATAACATTTAACTGTCAAACATACACAAATCTTTATTGAAATATTTCATACTTTGAACAGGTCCCAACAAGTAAAAGAAATTAAAACATATAATGGATTGAAAGAGAACCCCCTTTATCATAGGGCTGTCATGATCACAATACATCAGAAAACAGGTATATCCCAATACACGGGTATATCGTATCGTACCACAAGCAGAGATGAAATATTACTCTATCGCAATATTTTTCAAAAGCATATATTTATGTATCTGCTTGGTGTTTTAACTTTGCAAATTACTACAAATTCTAACAGATATGCAAATAAGCATAAAGCAGGCTTTTAATAGTTCAAATTTTGTAATCAATAGTTGGTTTGACGGGGGTCTTAAATCTATGCTATCCATGTTATATATAATTAAGTTTGATAACATTCTGAAAACAACTTATTTTAAAATTGAGCACATCTTTCCTATGACAATATATTGGGATATGTATCGCAATATATTCATTCTGTATTGCAATATACCGTGATACACACTTGGCGTTTTGTGACACCCCTACTATACTATGAGATTTATTTAAACCTCATGGTTCCAGTTGATCAATACTTCACTTCAATAGTTAGTTTTTGAAAACAGTGTTTTCTCTAACATATCATGAAAAATATATTCATATAAATATTCCCATATTTTACATTGTGGATTCTTAATAATAACAGTCATATTTGTGTCCTGTGGCACAATTTTTTTTATCCCACAACCAATTCCTGCTAGGAGTTGGTTAACAATTTGTTGGTTGAATAGTTAAAGTGGGCAACACCCTGAATGTTATATCATTGGTCAATCTTCTCATTATGACGTCGAGGAACAATGCTTTGTGTTGTCATCTTCTATCGTGATTAATAGTTCAATTCTTCATGGCAATTGTTTTCCCAATAGGAAACAGGAATAATGTATTCTGAGGAAAAACATATGGTTTTAAAGATATAATAATTGAACGTTGTTGGAAAATAAGGTGCCGCAACGGTATAACAATCTGAAGTCCAGGGTTCAAACCCTTGTCTGTCCCCGCATAATATTTTACACTCAGAACACATTTGTTGATTATATTTAGTTAATTTCACCTCCAGCATCATTTCTTAAGTGTCGCAAGGTATGCTTTTCTTTTCAAAAATGATTTATCAAATCTATAATCATGGCGGAAAAATAAGATTTAACGGTAGTTTCATTTTTGGCAGTGGTACGTTATCCTTAAGCACAGAATATCTACATTCTCATTGTCATAGCATCAAATGAAAAAAGATGTCGATAGTTTAAACATCATTATATTTTAGAAAATATAATGATATGTTTTGTAATTCCAGAACAAGTCCAGATACATGTATATCACCTGTAGTGGCTGTAGAAAAGCGTTTGCTCCTGACGAAGGATGAACTCTGGGCTCCAGATACACAGATCCCCTTGGCAGACAGGACTTCTGCTAATTTGTCAATCTGTCAACACACAAAAATAATCTTGCATAACAGTCTGCACATTAGAGTCTGCTATGTCAAAGCTTTTGTCCTTTTGTAAGTCGATGACTCAAATTTAGTGTTTCTTGTCCTCCACCGATCATTCATGTAGTTTATGATAAAAAATACAGTATTGAGAATGAGGTTTGGATAAAAATATCAACTACATGATGTAATTGATGTACATTTGTATATTAAATTTTATTTGTTGTCACAATCCCGATTCTAAGTACGAGGCAGTGAGATTTTCAGGATTTCTATTTCACTCAGACACACGTAATATGTGTAACAAGAGTTCATGTATATATAACATAGTTTGAGTGCATGACAGGCAAACATTCTATATCATAGCATGGTACATAATTATATATATACGTGTAGTTACAGTTACCGGAATATGTTTTCCCCTTATTTTGACTAAAGTGTCGTTATTACAAGTATAAGTAATGAAAATCGTCCCCAATACTAGTATTACAAAGTGGGCATATTCTGTCCTGTTTTTGAATTCCCACCCATCTTCCTGTTTCTACTGGAAGCTTAATATTTGAAGTTCTATATTGACAAGTGACATTACCCTAGGTACCTGGATTTGACCCAGATTTACATGGCATGCACATGTCAATAAAACAAAAGATGCTTGGTCTTCCAGATCGCCTGGTTTTTTTTTACTCTCCTTGTAATTTTTCAGGGGACTACATGTAAATCTTACTTTGTTCATATTTGCCTTTGTTTTATTGATTTTGAGTTCTAATTATGGTTTTGTTATAACAATTCCATTTTCTCCTGTAGCTGTTGTTTCATGTTTCCAGTGTAGTAGAGGCTACAATCCCAGTTTAAAAATCTAAAACATTTGCTCATCACTGCTAATATGGATAATGGCCAAGTGCGAATTTTGCATTTCACTGCGGAAAGTGGAAATACTCTATACTTTGAATAAGACATATACTTCTGACCACCCTCATGATCAGATAAGTTCCCTCTCATTACAACTAGGCCTCATGATTATAAAGACAAAGTCATTGAACTGCTTTCACACATCTGATCCTGGACTCCTGTGACCATGAACGTTGTTTAAGGTCTTTCATTTGAAACAACCTAGTAGCCCTTCATCCAAGCATGCTACTTACCAAACATCATTAGCCTAGGGCTATTGATCATCCAGAAGAAATTGTTTGAAGGGAAAATTGATGTCTGACAGACAAACTTTAGACCATTGCGTAAAGTCACTTGGTCCTTTGGACAAGGCCAGTTAAAAGTGGTGAAAGTTAAATCTATAAACTGTGACAAGAATTTCCCATTATACAGTATAATTTCTTGGGACAGATTTTATGAAATTTTTGGATCAAAGGGAAAATCCAAAGTTTTATCTTGGGAAAAAAAAAAGATCTTCAAACTTAAAGATATCAACTCATAACCAAGACAATGGCTTTCTTAGAATCTTGTTTGATTCGGGTTTAACGTCCGAGCAACAGCAAGGGTCATATGAGGACGGTACAAACTAACCGACCTTCTGGAACCTGTAAGTTGTACAAGGGATTATGACTAACATTATACAACAGAATTGTGATAAAAGTCTTAAGTAATTCCCTACTTTTATATCAGGACAATGGATGTCACAGTATGGTATATTATAGTGATGCGTGCTAACCTTGCCCTGTAACCACGATAACGTCTTCTCCTTGTTAAACCTGTACACTCTAAAGTCATCATCTCCTGCAAGACAAAATGGATGAATTTTATACAATGAATGAGTACTATAGATCTTACAGCTGTTTCTTTTAGCCACTTAATTTCAGACTTTCTTTTGTTGAAATGATGCATCAATACTTTGCCCTGAATGTTTGTAGTTTGTAATGAAAAAAGTTATTTGCAGGGGAACAGTCTAGTGCATCACTTGGTGCTTTGTAGAATCTGTTAAACAGTTCCCTACATCACCTAAAGCATCAAAAGACAATAGTTTGACTCTTCCGCTCTCTTAGCGTCACATTATAAATTTACCTCCCTTTGTCTTGTACATAAATACATAAACGTTAGATATAGGAGCATCTGGAATTTCAGTACACAACAAAAGGGAAAATAACTTCTTACTCATACTCCTTGAAAGATGTAACTAGACACAAACTTTAGGCACATGTAAGGCCAAAAAAAATTTGATAACTTGGTTCTCAGGCGCACACGCATTTCATTTTAGGGCACCGCATTGCCAATTTTATCGTGAAAGTAATAAATAAAAAAATCGTGAATGCGCCAGCCGCCATCTTTAAAAAAATCTGGAAAATTGGTTCGCATGCCGTTTTTACTCGTTAGTCACCCAAGTACCGAAAACTTTTGAATAAAGATAAGGATTGATATACAGGCAAGCGTTAAAATGATTATGACTTATTAGTCTCGTGTACAAATGGCGCTCATTTCGGTACAAATAAGGAATGGGGGGGTTCGTGATTCTCGTCTGGAATATCGAGGGGGGATTTTCGGAGGCTTGTTCTATAATGGGTCTCTTCACAACTATAAAAAGAAAAGGTAATGCCCACAATGAACGTTTTACAAACTACACAATAAAAAGGAAATCGCCCTCGTCTCATTTTTGCCATGTAAAATGGAAAAAAAAATACCTCCCTGCTGCATCTCTTTTGAAAAAAATTGGCCTGAGAACCAAGTAATTAATATTTTTTGCCCCATGACATAAGTTCACATGCTCTGTACTGAACCAACTGCTGTATGTACAGTAAGACATAAATTGACATGATGGATCTTCAGACATTCTAAAGACATTAATTGATACATGCTAAAAGTTAGCTGTATGTAGCCAATACTTTTACCAAACCGGGCATCATTTTTTATTCCTTACCAAACATCTGTAGATTTGAGGAATTTACCTTTCATGTCGGTGACTCGATAAAGCTCTGACATTCCAGCGGTCTTGTATAGACGCTGGCATTCTGGGTAGTCATCATCCGTCACAATCTGGTCTATAGTCATAAACTTCCCAGTCTAAAACATACCACACATTAAATCTGCAGGTTATTAGAGAAATCATTTTTTTTCAAAATAAACATCAACCATCATTCAAATAATTATAAGGCTACTTTCCTTCATATGAACTGGAAAATGTCTGTAAGACATGAATTTCTCCACAATATTGTCCTTTTTTGTCAATTTCTACAAACAGTAAATGGTGACCTTGGCATTAACCTTAAAACCCTGAAACATTTTTATAGTGCAACACTAGGAACAAAGTTACATCATCAATTGAATCAAAAACTACATTTTCGACAGTGAATAGGTGTGGTACATGTATATACATTTGTATATGGTAGCACTAAGAACAAAGCAGCATGATTTAATATGGTACATCAGGAAACTTTCGCCCAGGCAAGTTTTTCACCTTCAACTGGTAAACCTCGGTTTTGCTCAGTGTTCATTTCACCCTCCATATGGTATTACTGTACATTTTATATCAGGGATCAATCTAGGTTTTAGGGGAAATTACCCTTTTTCAGATTAGGGGGAAATTAAAATTTTGATACAAGGCTCTAGCGTCATGAAGGTAAAAGATAAACATTTTGTCCGACACACATGTGTGCAGTATGTTTCAATTTTTAAACAATTTTAAGCTTAAAATTGTATAATTTTTGTTTAAATTAAGTGGAGAAAATGTATATATCTGCAGTATTATGCATTCTGTTGAACTTTAAAGAAAACATTCATAGGGGAAATATTTTGAAGAAAAAACGGCTATTTTCTTGTTGAAATAGGGGATTTTTGAAGCACACAGGGGAAATTTCAAAGAACTGGGGAATTTTCTTCTGTAAGGGAAACTACCCATAAACGGTAGTGAATCAAGTCTAGATTACCCCCTGTAATATATACATGATATGTTGTGTTCTCCTTTTCATTATCGTGATATTTCCACCCTTATTACAGAGGGTTAAAAAGGTGAAAATTAAACTGTGGCAAAGATTTTCCCTGTACACAGTAATATACCTGTCTTAGTTACCTGTTCAGCTGTAATGAGGTACGGCAGCACTAAAAATAAAGAGTCTACTTTTGACGTTAATATCAGGGATCCATCTGAAGGAAAAAGAAAGCATTTCTAAATAATTTTCTATTTCTGGCACAAACCTTTTCTCCCCTTCTGTATTTTACCTTAAGTCACTTTGTAGATGGCATTAAATTAAAGCTCAATAATGGTTTTAGACTTGCTTAGAATTTGAGATTAAACATTGTGGTATGATGACAAACGAACTCTAAAACAAATTTGATTCTCACTGTTTATAGCAGGAGACCTTCAAAGATTGAAAGAAATGTAAACCCCTTTATGATTTACATGTAATTTTCAGCTACCATTCCAGGGTTATCAGTATTAGGTAGGGTTGCAATAATTGTACATGTCTTTTACATTCGATATGATAGAGTTTGAAATCATCTATATTTTTCGTTATTCATTTCCTAAAATCTCACATAAAATAAAATTACTTTCAAGATAAAAGACTGCATAAATTGCACTGCAATTTGTGGATTATTCGGTTCATGTACACTTTACTTATACATTATGTATTTCATCACACCACTATGAATACAAAATTATTTTAAAACACATACGATAAGATTGTATTCCTTTTACTGTAAAACTGTTAATCTTTGCTCCGACAAATTAATTCTCATGTAAAATCCTTTAAAAGTAACCATAGATAAAAATATTTTTACTCGTCACCTTATTAATGCCAACAAATTTGAAGACCCAAGAACATCATTTTTTTTGTGAAAAGCATAAGTCCTTCAGAGGTGGAAAAATTCTGGTCCTAAAATTCTATTTATACAATTGTATGTTTAGAGGCCTAGGTTCACTACAAAGAATTAGCCTTTAAAATGCAATGGTCTTTCAACAGGAGCAAAGCTATTTTGCCTGTCCATTGTTTATTGCAAATTAGATCTTCCAACCCTGAAATTTTGTAATGCACTATTTCAACCTTTGAACTGGAGGAGCTCAAATGTGTTTTCAGGGGTGAATGAGTTAATAATAGAACAGTATGCTGTACATATACCAGTTGTGGTAATATATTTCAATGACATTTCACAGGTTTGTTCGACAAGTATCTTTGGCCTGATGATCAATCAACTTGCCCGTGAATTTCTCTTGCCTTTGTCTCCTTCACCGTTTTTTTCCACAAATATTCTTTTATACAAGACTATCACTTTCGACATATCAGCACATCCCGTTATAATGTGAGAATTTTGATGGACAAATCATGGTAGTGTGACAAGGTATTACTTATTGTAATAATTTGAGGTTCTTATATACTGCTTTATCACAACCTAGTTTGAAGGTTGTCTCAAAGCGGTACACAAATCATTAGCCGTGGTTATAGGGCCTTTGCAACCAGCCAATATCTTTCTCAACTCCCTGGGAACCATACAGCCGGAGCTGCCATTTTGGCACTTACAGCTAGCATTCAACAATTCTAGCGCTGCCCAACCGTGTACTCATTTACAGCTGAGTAGACTGGATCAAGCGGAGTAAATTATCTTGCTCAAAGATACAACACAGTGCCGTGCTATGACTCGAACCCGCAACCCTTCGGTCACGAGCCCGCATTCTACCGATACTCTACCATGCCTCACCATTGTACAACTTAATCCTAGTAAATTTACAAATACACTCCGTATATGGACCCTATTGATTCTGTCAGCTAAATATAAACATTTAAAATATTTTTTTTCAGTTCAGACTTATTTTTTTACCGCTCTGTACTTGATCTCCGATGAACCATGACCGGAACTCTTCCTTGAAGGAGGTTACTTCATGGATATCCTGCTCATCGTGAGAGAACACAAATAAGGCACCTCTATCTGCAATTAAAATAAAAGCTTGTGAGGCAATAAAAGCAGTGGTAGTACATGTACATTTTTGTACACATATGTATTTCTATTTCATATACATCATACTGAAAGTCTTAACCTGTTGAAATATATGAGCAAATTTTCATATTGATACAAGGTTAAACAATCATACTTTCAATGTCGGCGAAAAAACAGCATCACCCCGATGATGCATCAAATTTACCCATTTTCATTTAGGTATTATGGGATAAAATTAAAAAAAAAAAGAAAAAAGCGCTCTATGGCCACCTCATTTTTTTTCAATATTAAATTAGATTGTTTTATAACAAAGAAACAATGTGAGCATGAAAAAGATGAAAACAGGAAAAATTTAAACTGTGTATCCGTATATAAGTAAAATATATATGAAAATTAAAAGATTATGACATTTGTTTTGTATTGTGTACATTCTCCATCAAAACGTAAAGATATTTTAAAATGTTTAATAACATGGTGTACCAAATGTTGACTTATTTTTTTGCATTTTTCTGATGTTTGTGATACTGTATATATGAATTATAATGTATGTGTATTAGCCTGCCATTCATCAACTATGAAACAACTACTTTTTTTAGAATACTTTTAAGTCAACATTATGGCATGTGAACAAACCAATTACTGAATCAATACATAATGATCATGAGAGCACTGATAGACCAAACAGTTTATTTTTCTTAGCAATATAGGTCATATATAGTATTTTCCCTTTCCCAAAACAAATTGCAAATATTTTGTGAAGAATGTCCCAGCATGTATCACCTCCGAAAGCCAAAGTGGCAGATATAGACACATCTACAAAACCTTTCGAGTTAGATAAGTCATTCCATTGATATGTCTCGCCTGTGCCCCGTGTGCTTTGACCATCAATGCACATATTGATGAAATAGATTCAATGTAGACATCAATATCCAGCATTTGATGCATGTGTTGAGATATAATACCCAAGATGCATCTATGGTAAAAGTTTGGTTGGTCTAGCACCTATAGTTACAGAGAAACTAACTTAAATGCAAAACTTTAATGTCGATGGAGATGCTGACAAAAGTCAATGGACCATGAAAGGTAGGCAGCATCCAGCATTTGATAAGGGTTGAGAAGTACTACCTGCATGCATATAGCTATGACTTCAACACCAGTACAGACCAAGTGACAGTCTTGTTGATCATATATGTGCATAAATTATTGTGCATTCCAATTCTATAATTGATTTACAATCATGATTCACTATATCACTGCTCGTGTATCAGTACAACTGTGAATTTATATCATGGTGACTCATGTATTTGTATTTACCATGTTTAGTTTGAACTGCTTAATCTGTTAATTTGATCATCTGATATAATTTTCCAACATAACTTTCACATATATTTATCCCCTGCTTGATCCTGAACTATAACAATAATTATTCTATATTTTCATAGGAACATGTAAGCAATGGAGCCATTTATTGTTGCAGTAAGTATACCGAGTTGTTGTTGCTGATGCTTGTTGCCTACAAAAGAACTTAAATTTTCATTGCTTTAACTCTATGTGAAATTTTATGTATTGAAAATATTCCTGTAATGCTTATTCTATTATGAATTAATTCATTTATATTTACCTATAGCTACAATAGATTTGATCTATTTATACTATACAAATATATTATGAGTGCCCAATATCTCATTTTGCTTGATTATTCACATTATGCATGAATTCTTACATTGTTACATTTTACATGTTCATGTGCTTATTTTGTTTTGTTTTTCAAATTTGCCTTGTTGAATATTGTTGCTCATTTTCTTTCCCTATATTTATTCAACTTAAACACATTATCTATCTATAATTACAATAGCTCAGCTACTGCTGTAAATCCCTTACCAAAATAAGTAAGCTCGATAACTTGCCATTAACTATGGTTTGAAACCTAATCCATGTAATATATTATATAATATTTGTAACATTAGTAATCAATCTTTTATTTTGCATACTTAATTTAAGTAATCGTGTCTGGTATCATTACATGTAATTGCCTTTGAATAATCTTTATGCTTGACTAATAACTAGCAAGCAAGCCACTTAACTATTTTGCTTTATGTATATACATGCATGTATGGTAAACTATATATATACATATTATTAGCAACCAATATTTCAATTTGCTTGTGCTTCTCTAATTGCTTAACTTTTTGTGTCTTGCTTGTGTTCATTTTTTATTTTTATTTATTATATACTTAATTATTGATTCGTTTTCATGTTTATGTGCTATTTGTTATGATTGTTGTGTCTGCTCTTGATAAATCTTCTTGTTTTTTTTCTCGGGTTTTCATAAGGTATCTAACTCCATGTTATATTTGTCATTGGATACTTATATTTAAAAATAAATCTTTTCGTCTTAATTGTGATAATAGAACCTACCGTATACTTATAATATTTGCTTTATTTCTTGAAATTCAGCCAACTTTTGCTCACTAATAGCATTATTTGTATATGTATAGATTACCTCTCTGAATAGGTTATCTCCCTTACACCACTGATAATCTGTAACTATTCATTATTTTTCTTCTTATACATGTAACTTTAGGTTACTAGTATATGAATAAATCTTAAAATATAACATGATTGTCTCAAATGATTGATTTCATGTTCTGTCTGTATATAAATATTTGTATATATGTATTTAAAATAATTAATTTGTTTATCTGCTTCAATTGATTTTTTTACACTTGTAGTTGAACATGTTACACTGAATTCAAGAAACTACTGTTGTTAATTGTTTTGATAATACTCAAGTTCAGTATACCACTCCCTATGAAATTATATTTAAAATATCAAATTGATGCTTTCCACATTCTGAGAATATTATTTTTCATTAGTCCCTACTGTTATTTCTTTCCTCAAGTCTCTGCTTATTTATTTATTGTTATTTTTTTTTATTTTTTTATTTTTTTTTTCATTTTTTGGCGTGTTAGTAGTTTGTAAGTATGTTTGTGTGTGATTGTAAGCTATACTATAGTTCTTCCTCTATTACTGCCTGTAATACCAATATGATATCACTACATGTATACTCAAGATATTTTATACATTCTGTTTGTTATAAAACTTCTACTTCTGATGTCTGGAAATATTCACTCTAATCCAGGTCGCTCATCAATCAGTATTAATCAAAGAAACTACTATAATGATTTATCAATAATGCACTTAAATGTTAGGTCTCTTCGGAACAAGGTTGATCTTATAGATACTGAATTCACTGACTATGACATCCTATGTCTTACTGAAACTCACCTGAATAATGAAATAACTGAATCTGATTTGCAAATTAACTCACATCCCAACTCATATCGTAGAGACAGACAATCACAACACGGTGGTGGTATTATGATATATACTAAAAACAACCTCTTAATAAATCACAGAACTGATCTTGAAACTGAAGACATAGAACTTGTCATCCTAGAAATTAACACTTCTAACAAAAAAATACTTCTCTGCTGTCTTTATAGACCTCCTAATACAAAAATAGATTACTGGAATAAACTTGATAACATTTTAGATAATCTTTCTCATACTAATCTTAATATCATTATCACTGGTGACATAAATATTGACTTTATCACAATGAAACCTAAATTCACATCTTGCAAGATTAATTACTAAATATCCCTTAAAAAACTGAATACAATCACCAACACGCATTACAAACACTACTGCTACCTTAATTGATGTATTTATTACTAATAATGTAAACATTTTTACCTCAACAAATGTACTTTCCCCTCTCTGTAGTGATCACTGCCCCATCCTTGCTAACATTTGTTTTAAGACACTAAAAAATAAACCATTCAAGAAACCTATATATAAGTTCAATGAAGCTAATTGGGATGCTATTAATAATGAACTACTTAGTAATGATTGGGATTCCATAGTTAATAACACTACTAGCATTAATGAACTATATTCTACTATTATAAACAAAATAAACTCTGCTACTAACTCTCATATACCTCACAAAACAATTACTGTCCATCCTGATGATAAACCTTGGATGACTGGTGAAATTCGGCATAAATTAAGATATAAGAATAGATTACATAAAAGAGCTAAAAATAAAAATAGGGAACAAGATTGGGCAAAATTTAGAACTTGTCGCAATGACACTATACAAATTATTCGGCAATCCAAAGAAAATTACTTTAAGAAACTTCAAAATTGTCTTGCCGACAAAACAGTGCATCCAAGAAAATGGTGGCAGATAGCAAAATCTATAGGAAAAATGAATAACACTAGCACTAATTCTTATCCTCTAAAATCTAACAATAAAATATTAATCCATCCACAAGATAAAGCTGAGGCACTAAATAACTTCTTTACCACCATTGCCTCTGATATTACTGACACTAACCTACCTGATTTACCTCCCTTATGTCCATTTGAACTTTCTGACATTAACATTACTGAACAAGATATAACTGACCAATTTGACATTTTTAATAAAAACAAACCAGCTGGTCCTGATGGTATTTTACCTATGATTGTAAAGAACATTTCTGCTTCTTTAGTATACCCACTCAAACTATTATTTAATAGAACTTTATCTATTGGAGTAATACCTGATGTACTAAAAACGGCTAATGTTACTGCTCTCTATAAAGGTAAAGGAGATATCAGTGATCTCAATAATTATAGACCTATTGCTATTACATCTATTTTTATCAAAATGTTAGAAAAAAATATTTTTAAATATACGTTTAATTATATTTCAAGTCACAATATGTTAAGTGTACATCAGTCAGGATTTCAACCCAAAGACTCCACTACTAATCAACTAGCTGATATCTATAATACTATAAGTGGCAATTTAGACCAAGGTAAAGATTTGCGTTTTGTTTTCTGTGACATAAGTAAAGCATTTGATCGAGTATGGCATTTGGGCCTATTATATAAACTAAAAACATATGGTATTAAAGGTAAATTATATAATTGGTTTAAAGCTTACTTATCTGACAGAAAACAAAGGGTTATCTTTGAAGGTTATAAATCTAGTACCAAACCTATGTCTGCAGGGGTTCCTCAAGGATCTGTCCTTGGTCCCTTCCTCTTTCTTCTTTTTATTAATGATATTACTAATAATGTAACTTCTCATATAAAACTCTTTGCAGATGATACCTCTCTCTATGTAATAGTAAATAATAACAATGACCTTACAACACCTACTAACATGCTTAATGATGATCTTGACTCAATCTCTGAATGGTCAAAGCGATGGCAGATCCTATTCAATCCGAATAAGACTGTAGCTATTAACTTCTCTCGTAGACACATTAACAATCATCCTCAACTGCTATTTAACAATACTCTAATTGCACAACATAAACACCATACTCACTTAGGACTAACATTTAACAGTAAAGGGACATGGTCAGATCACATTTCAAATATTTATAAGAAAGCGAACTCTAGACTAAGTATTCTTAGAATTTTAAAAACTACAGTTGATAGGAATACATTAAAAACATTATATGTCTCTTATATAAGACCTGTGCTAGAATATTCTGATATAGTATGGGATAATTGTACCAAATCGGAATCAGATCTTTTAGAATCAGTTCAACTAGAAGCTATGCGTTTAATTACTGGCCTCAGACGAGGTACATCCCATCATATTCTGTATACTGAAACACAACTTGAAACATTACACACACGAAGACAAAATCATAAACTAACATTAATGTATAAGATTCTTAATAATTACACTCCAACTTACCTCGATAATATCATTCAACCATTTCTAAATGTAAATAATAATTATACCTTCAGAAATAACAGATTCTTTAATATACCACAGACAAGAACTACTACTTATATGAATAGCTTCTTCCCATCTACAATGGTAAAATGGAATGCACTTGATAGCACTGTACGAGAATCCATCTCAATTTCATCTTTTAAAAAGAAACTTAAAAAAAACTTTGATACATCCGTCTCAGAAACTTTTATTAACTGTGTTCCGAGGAAACTTAACATAATTTTATGTCAGCTAAGAAATTTTAAAAGTGATCTTAACTGTGATAAGTTACAAGACCATCTGATTGATGATGCTTCCTGTGTATGTGGTGTACAGAGGGAAGATCTAATACATTTTTTCTTCCAATGTCCTCTGTATTCAAATATTAGGCATCATATTACCACTATTTATAATCTATTAGAATATTTAAATCTGCACTGTTTAGTATATGGTATTAGTAATGCATCCGACCGATTAAATAAAACTATTCTTATACATGTTGACTATTATATTAAATCATCAAAACGTTTCGTTACTTATACGTGCTAGATAAATTTCCAAATGAATATTCATGTATTGTTATAATTATTGTTATTCAGGCAAGTTTTATCCCTTAAATAACGAGTATTAGACATAAGCTGGTGTGGGTGTGGGTGTGCATGAGTGTGAGAGGAAACGAATCACAACATTTTATATATTTAAGCATTGTACATAGCTACCGGAAATAGAAGAAGACTGATATAGTCAAAGCCTGTTGTCTTATTCTTTCGTCAATACTGTTCTAATATCTTCTTTAATATTAACTTATATGTTTGTATTATATATGTATTGTCAATAAAATACTTTTGAAATTGAAAAAAAAATTTAAAAAAATGCATATATATAATGGTTTAAGTTTGGTTGGTCTAGAACTTATACTTTCAGTGAAACTAACTTAAACGCAAAAACTTAATGTTGATAACGCCACCACCGTCGCCAGATAAAGAAAGCCTTAGTCTTGGTTCCTGCTATTTCGTCGCAGCGAGACAAAATGTACAAAGAGTGTACAACGACCATCATCTGATAGTTCCACAAGCCTGATCGAGGCCAATAGATTTTATGTATGCATGGGCTCCAGAAAATGTTTAATATTTAATCTAAAAACTAGTCTGTCTCATCAAATTTCTCAAAATCTGCCTGTGTACTAGTACTTTAATTATGAAATTGTTAGTACAATTGAGCTGCTGTACGTAACATTAAAGGCACTAAAAATCTTAATAGAGTCATTAACAGTACAAGGCGACTGTAAAGCATCTACTGGACTGTTAACATTGTTGGTGGTAGATAACTGTTACAATGATTGTTTTACATAATTATTTATAAATAATAACTTTATATAACTAATATTTCACAATAGAAAATGTTAAAAAGAAAAATAAGATATCTGTTTGTCGGGCAGGAGGAATTCTTTTAACTATTATATACCTGTTTTGGGGTGACGCAGTTTACAGAATATGGGCTTGTCTTCTGCATTTGGGTTTTCTTCTATTACGGAATCTAGAAAAACAAAACAAAATGGAAAACATAATATACAGATCTATGCATACAAATTACTGGTAGGACTAGTATCCAGTATGAAATATATCTCATCTTATATACTTTTAGGATTCTTTGAATATTGAAAGAGAAACTGAAAGCCATGTGCAAACATGGTCATATATGTATGTCATGATCACTTGATCCGACAAAATTGGTTAAATAGACGGGATTAATCTTATTCATTTAGAAAAATATTTTGAATAAATATACCGGTAAGATGAATAAACAATTTATTTTGGGATTTTTTTTATTTTTTTTAATATGGACACGTATATGTTGTAAATTATAAACTTGATCGTGAATGTAAAGTCTAACAATTGAGTTGTCAGGACTTGTATACACGTACATTGTAGGGTTTTATCAGTATTATCACAGAAATACATAGTATTGACACAGAATTATCTAAGTCCGTGGTATTGATAAGTCTGTACGTACCGGTAGTATTATAAATTTAATTCAAGCCTATCAAAAATCAAAGGGGTGCAGTATCTATAGTGGGGTGGAAAATGTAAACAGATATAATCAGGTTGGGGAATACCACCAACTTGCGTATAATATGCAAACTCGCCTATTATACTCCGGTTGGAGTATGGATTTGTTACTAAAAATAACCCAAATCGCTTTAACAGTAACTTTAGCAAGATATTATTAAAAATTGCAATAATTTACGACATGGTAAATAAAATTTTGCTAAAAGATGTTTACTGAAAGCGTTGGCTACTTAGAAACTTTATGTAACTTTACCAGAAGTATTGCATCTATTTTAAGTACTTTCCCACCTGCATTTATTTTTCATTTTTGCATTTGTATTATGTTTCATGACTGAATAAATGCGACTTTGACAAACAATTTGAAAAAATTAAGATTAAAGTGATTTTTGCTATTTTTAGTAACAAAACCATACCCCTATTGGCGTATAATAGGCGAGTTTGCGTATTATACGCAAGTTGGTGGTTTTCCCTGACCTGATAATGTTATATATATAATATATAGGATCTTATATGAGTTTCCATTTCATATGAGATTTAAGAAATGAGTCTAAGAAGTTTTCAAATAAGCGTGCCTCTGTCGTGCTAAAAAGAAAAATTTGTGATGAGTTTCATAAATTTCATATGAAATGAAAATGAGTGCAGGATCCATTTGATCAACAAAATGACATGGATATATATATTCAATGAATAACACAGTACATTATGTGATAAATTTTACATATATTTATTATCAGTGGTTTATATTCCAGAACCGAGCACCTGACGTGGTTACAACTGTCACAGTTTAAACTTGATTATGTTGAAACTTTTGATCCTCAAATTTGTATTTCAGCGGCAGATCCAGGGTAACCGAAATTACATTTAGTATTATTATTTCAAACACTTAATTTCTGCCAGTAACAACACTATGGACAGTATCCCTCGATCATGTGGGGCTATGCCAACCTGCATTGGTTGTAATACCACAAGCACATTAACATTGGCACTTTTAGCTCAGCCTCGGGGTGTTTGGCAACCTATAGATATGTTATACTGTAATATTATAACTTTAATTCAAGCCTAATCAAAGGGGTGCAGTACGTATCTATCAGGTTGGGCACAACGGCGCATATGGGTAATAATCCTGCATTTGGGTAACATCTTTGTATGTTATGGTTGAATCACTTCAAATCTACTTTCACTATCCTATATAAAAAATCAAAATTTTGTACTTCACTATCTTTATTAAAAATCGCTATTTATATGGTTATTATAAACAACTTTTGGTTGATTTTTTTTTCGTGTTTTGACATTTTCGTGATTTTAGATGTCCCGACTTTTTTTCAAAAGCGAAAACTGTTCAACCAAAAGTTTTTTGTAATAACCAATAGATATGGCGATTTTCAATATCGTAAGTGAAGTACAAAATTTTGATTTTTTATATAGGATAGTGAAAGTAGATTCGAAGTGCATTCAACCATAACATACAAAGATGTTACCCAAATGCAGGATTATTACCCATATGCGCCGTTGTGCCCAACCTGTCTCAGGTCTATAGTGGGGTGGAATACGTAAACATATTTGCATACGTCTTTCTTTGTGCATACAAACCATTCATTAAAAACACCCATTGTTCGTTGTCTTGCTTTGCTCCGCCATTTTTATGTTCGTGTGTCATTTCTCCATCGGTGTCTTCAGATTTGTGTCTGGATGATCGTCTTGTTGACATTTCAATAATAAAATGGCGGGAATCAACTGATCTGACCACTATAGACGCTTCTATGCTATTTCTCTTCAAATTCAAGCGTTTCTGTGGTACAGTTGACGAAAACCAATATGTCTGCGCCCACGTTGACGAAGAAACAAATCCAGCAAACTATAAGGAAGGGCAATAGTAGGCCGGTGGTGAAGACCGCACTATCTAGTCCTTACAACATACAATGGTAAATGCACTGCACTACTGTAATTGAAAAGTGTGACACTTTGATAACATGTCCCCGTCATTACCACTGGGACCTGCACGGCATGTTCCATCGGTCTTACATAAAAGGGATGCTGACCGAAATGGAGTTGAATTACCTAAACGGAGGGATATCGGCTTTAAATAAGATAATTTCAAGATAATGGACACTCATTCTTCATCACCAATTTCAGGCATATGGAAAAAAAATCGAGTGTTAATATAATATCAGTGGCGGTTGCCACACGGATATGATAATGACCGAATTAAGTGTGCCGAAATGGAGTTTAATGACCGAAATGAAGAAAAAAAAGCGCCGAAATGGACTGCAAATCTATACCATTCCAATTATTATCGTTGATGAAATGGTCCATATAATAGAAAATTTAGTAAAAAGTATTTATTAATCAATGTTCCGTTGAACAGGTGTGTTTTACGCGTTGTCGCCAGAAACGGGCCACCGAAATGGAGCAATAACGGACCATTATACGGCGTTTGCATTATGACCATTTTAATGACTGAATTAGTGAATATCTAAAAAATAACATTGAAATAATATAGTCAAGTAATTTTGAACTGCCATTGCATAATATATATTTATATAGTGTCCAATATCGGGTAATGAATACAAGACCTGCGAATCCTGTGAATTTGTGCCAGCCATATTTGGAACTAAACTAAGGTGTTCAGAGTTATTTTACATGTTTTAGGGGTTACGATCGACTTCCGGTAAAAATGAAACCCCCAATGATCATACAAATGTATATACGAGAAGGGAGGAAAGCTCTCGATGTCGACCCCACCTAACTTTCTTGCATGAAAATCAACAGTTCTAATGCAGGAATAGAAAGTTAGAACCTTTCTTGAAATAGGTAAAAATATGCGCTGAAGGCGAATGACCTGCGAGTGGGAAGGGTGGCCGCAGGCCTTATCAACTAGCAAGGCCCACAGACTGGAGCCAGGGGGAGAGTACAAGAAGGGGGCGCAGATGACATCTTTATTTTTTATTGTTATTAAATAAAGTGTTTGGGTGACTGTTATTATTGTGTTTACTGTATACAGGGCCAACCGTTAACAGTGTTGTACAAGATGTAAAATAATTGCTATGACAACATAAACACAGGGAAAATGAATTATAAATAATTCTTGCGGTAGGATTTTAGTTACAGGTGGGGATTTATTTTTACTGAAATGGGGGAAAATTAAGCTGTACATTCAAAAAGAAAGAAACCCAAATTACAATTTAATCTGTGTTGATCAATGCCATATTATTTTAGTTTGGAAAATAGTCTTCCATGAGTGACTTCATTATAATTATCAAGGTTTCTCACTACGTCATGTATTGTCAGAGCTCCAGTAGATAATTCTGCCCAGAAACTGATCTTTTTACTACTCCAACAACATTCAAGGTTAAAGTTTAACATAGTCAGATACCTTTGACAAATGCTGTTACGCAGTCGGCATAATCATATCCGATAAAAATAAGTCGACCAGCAGACTCTTATGTTAGAGTGTTACAGGATAAGTCGTTTTGCAGGTTAACACATAACATATGTTATTACATTAATGTATATATGATTTTTGGCAAAATTTGTATACAATTTTAAAGGTCATGTGTACAAATATTCATTTCTTTGTGTTGGTCAATATTTTCCCTACCTTTGTGTCAGCATAATGTTCAAATTGACCAACATTGTATAAAATATTTTAGTTTTTTACTAATCTGTTTCAGGCCAACTGTCCAAGAAGATGTTCAAGAAGAAATACTTCAGCGCCTCCTGAGGTAAACTTGTCATGACATCACCTCCTATTGTTGTTGGAATCATACATCGTAACATGGGGCCTGTTTGTTTATGCGGAACAACCGTTTTTTCCGTTTTTAATTGTAACAATTTCGGATATAAATCCTGGCGGACCTGCAAATGTTTATGTATGCAGGCCTTGCAAGGCTTTGTCAAGGCTCACCTGAAAGCGCCATCAGATTACTAGATCGGAACTTATTTAATAAACGAACAACTGTGGTCCGACTGGTTCAGCGGTTTAAACGAAAACGGCCCCAATGTCAATTTCATTAAAATGCATTCTGCTAAATTTTTAAAATGCATTCTGCTAAATATATTACTTTGATTTTAAAATTGTTAGTGCATCTTTATTACAGCTTCAAAAACATACACAAATTTGTTGTTGGATAAAGGTAGATTCAAACATGTAATATTCAGAGGTTATTATATGACTATTTTGATATCACACCCTATATCAGCCTGATATCAGGTCAAGGGCTGATAAAGGGTGGGATATCAAAATAGTCATATCATAAACTTTTTATCATACATTTTGAAAACCAAAACCAAAACAAATTAATTTAACAAATGTTGTTGTTGTTGTTTTTGTTTTTGTTGTTGTTGCTATGGTCTGTGCCCGAAACCGAAGCATCTAAACGTAAAACTGAAATCCAGAGTGAAGAACCCGGATGAAGTGATATCACTGATATGACAACTCAAACAACACTTGTATCAAATGGGCAAAATGTATATTATCAGAGACAAAAGTGTTATAATTGTCTTTACAGCACATTGAAGTCACTAGATATTGCCAGACCTAAAAGCCGTAAAAAGAAAAAGAAAAACAAGACAGAAGAAACGGAGAAAGATACTGCAATGCCAGTGGCGATTGAAACACTAAGAAACAGGTACATGTATATATGGATCTCTAGTGGAAAGGACTAGAGGCATCAAGGGTCATTTCCGGCCTCATCGGGGATTTAGAATTAGTTATTATATTCGTAATCTGGAATAAATGAAGTACGTAAATACAACTACTTTAGGAGATAGGTATTACAAAGAGAGACTTGAACACACATTTTCATAATAAAATATGTGAATATCGTCTGTTGTCACAATTTGGTTGAAAATTTGTCATTTTGAAGGAAATTAACTTATAAACGCTCTTTAAGTTTTGAACCTCTGCATGCAACAAACAAATATAAGGGGCTGGTCGGGGAAAACATGTCATATTTGCTAAAATGGCATACACATGTATGCTGAAATTCATCCCTTAGAGTAAAAATTATAATTATATTAAAGAAATCCTAAATCGTCACCTGACAGTCTAAAACTCTCAATTAACCCAGATCAGTGATGTAATTTTACTGCACGCGCGTCATCAACAAGGCCAAATGTAAACATCGCGGCGAAAGAAAAAGATGCATGTAAAAGTCATGGCGGGCACGAGGTATCAATACCGTTACATATAACAACAACATATAGGTAGGAATACTACACTTGCATCATATACATGACCTTTGAAAACAATTATTGACGTATAGTATTGCTGTCTTGTCCGCTAGTTGAGTACGACATGGCACATGACGGCGTGCTATTGTTGTTATCTTCACTGCCTCACTTTCGAAACAACCACGTGACATATATAAATAGATCTGCGCTAAATTTACCCGGGGCTTCTCCGAGATTTCAGTGGTCAAAACTGGACATAGCAAGCAGAACTCGACCATCATATTGCCGTGGTATAACTTTTGGAAGGCCAGAGAACGCATTTAGACCCATTTACTTTGTAATATTTTCCCTGACCACCCCCTTTAAGCATTGTTATACCAGTGTTCATTCGTAGAAATGAATTTTTGTTTGTCACATGCGGAGGCTTTTTTTTCTGCATGTTTACTGACCAAAAACACCATATTTTGTCTATTTCTACATAGCAACGCAATTTCGCTGCTATGGTAGGGTATCTGTGCATACGCATTGGAAAAAATCTACACCAAGAAAGATAGCCCCAATTAATCAATATGATGTTTATAACAGAAAAAAACAAATAAAAATAAAATGCATTCATGAGTGTATTGCATATATTCAACCTGCACCATCTCTGTCAGATTAATCTGAATTTGATTAATGGATAATGACTGTAATATTTTTTAATTGGTAATTTACTTTTTACTTAGGAGGCATGTTAGTCGAGTGGTAGGACTCCGGGCTCGTGACCAAAGGGTTGCGGGTTCGAGTCACGTCACGGCACTGTGTTGTATCTTTGAACAAGATACTTAACTCCGCTTGTTCCAGTCTACTCGGCTGTAAATGAGTACATGGTTGGGCAGTGCTAGAATTGTTAAATGCTAGCTATATTAGCTGTGAGCATGAAAATGGCAGCACCGGCTGTATGCTCCCCGGGGAGTTGAGAAAGATATTGGCTGGTTGCAAAGGCCCTATATCCATGGATAATAATTTGTAAACCGCTTAAAGATGACCTACAAACTAGGTTGTGATAAAGCGGTATAAAAGAACCCTCAAATTATCATTATTATTACTTTAACAGAAAGCAGCTCCTGTTCGGTGTGAATCAGGTGACCAGAGGGTTGGAGAAAGACGAAGTACGGTTGGTCATCTCATGTCGATCTGCTCAACCAGTCATCATAACAAGACATCTGATTGGTTTAGCAGCCCTGAGGAAATGTCCAGCAATCTGTGTCAGTAGTCTCAACAAGTCCGTTTCTAAGGTCATGAACATGACATCTGCTGTGGCCATTGGATTCAAGGCAAGCACATGATTTTTTTTATAAATTAACTTACATTTCACGAAAATATTTTGGTGATAATTTAGCTCACTTCACTGTAATAAGCATCTTTTCTTCATTTAGTTTTCTGTCTATTTTGTTCTGTGAAAGATAATGTGGAAGCCCTGTTATTGTAAAATCCTCTACATTAACTCATTCACTCCTGAAGACATATTTGAACTCCTCCAATCCAAAGGTTGGAATAATTCATCAGGAAATTTCAGGGGTGAGTGAGTTAAAACCATAAAGACAGAAGGAAATCATAGTGATGCGTGTCTGTCTCCATGTTTCTTTTCTCCTAGCTACAAAATAAGTTTGGGATTCCTTAACTCATTCACCCCTGAAATTTTGTAATGAACTATTCCAACCTTCAAATGTGTCTTCAGGGGTTATTGAGTTAATGAGGTTAATCAAACTTCATTAAGACTTTTTTGACTAAAGTACTTGCTTGGGACTGTTTTTTGGGTCAAAATGTCAAACGTCATGTTACTATTTATTAAAACAAAATATTGGTTCCAGCAGATTTATTTGAATCAAGTCGACCAAACTCAAACGTCATGCAGGGGTTCCCAACCCACAGTACTTGCAGGGTTTTCTTTCTCACTGTGCTTTCACGAGTTCCTTTCTAACAAAGCTAACAGGTTTTCATTTTTCACAGTGCTTGCTTGGGGTTTCTTTTTCAATGTCAAATGGTAAATAAATAAGGTCTTGGTTATAATAATGAACTTTCATTCCATTTAACCGTTTATTGATGAACATAACACGGTAATTTAGTATTGCATAGCAATACGCTATTTCTGGTGATTTTAAACAAAACAAATTGGACATTAAACTAAACCATTTGTTTCTTTTGTAACAGAGGTCTATTAAGTGTCCCAAACATAGGTTTATAAGCATCAGTGATATCTCATACAGTGAGTGCATTTCAATTTGAAAACTTTTTAGCAATTAAGTTGTGAGTTTTTTTGAAATGATTATCAAGTTCTAGTGAAATAATTGTCCTTGTGATTTTCTGTAAAATAATTGCTATACTCAGGTATTGATATCATTGTATGTGTAGCCAACTTTTGATAAAGCTGGTATTATTTTTACATTCATGTACATACAAAGATAACTGTCTCAAAAAGATGGTGTTTTCTTTAGAAGTTATACCTAGTTAACCTCTGGGTATTACTTTTGAATTCAATCTTTTTAGTTGAGTTTACAAAAATATAGCTACATATCTCAAAAATGATTTTCAAGGCGACATATCTTCAAAAATAGTTATTTTTGAAAATGTCAAAATATATCCTCTGACTTCTGATTGTGACAGTTCATTGAAGTTTCATCACATACATTTTAAAAGAAAGGAACACTCTTATAAATTTATAATCCCTGGGCATGTCTGAAAAAATGACAAAAAATAGATATCTCTTTTTTTTTAAAATCAGAAATCATCAGGAATTAAAGATTCAAGTGTATTTGATGAGCTGGTGGAATTCGTAGCTAAGCACGCTCCTGATATAACGCTGCCCTGGCTACCTGGGAATTCAGTCGACATATCAAAAATGGAGGCCCCCGTAGAGAAAATGGATACCGGTGCAGACCCCGCAAGTCCAAACGTTGCCAGTGAAGTAGAGAGTTCCGAGCAAACGGTGAAGAATGAAAGTCCATCTAAAGAAGCGTCACTTAATGAATGCAGTGACGGAGAAATTAAAGAAAATTCAAAAGGAGCTGGGGACAGGTCTCACAATGAATCCATAAACTTTGTAAAACCACACATAATGCGAACAGATGAAGGAAAAGTGGACTACTCACGTTTCTATGTGTATAAATCAGAGGCAACCAAGTCAAAACAGAACTGGCCAGAATTTATCAAATTCTCAAGTGATCCGGAGGAGTCTGTAGTTTATAGAAATGAGTCGGTGAAAAGACATCATGTAGAATATGAAAAAGTGTCTGTGAAAAGAATTCCTACAAATCCAGACAGAAAGAAAAAGAAAAAGAAACTCAAAAATTAGGAAATGTCATTATGATTAAAAGTTTAAGAAAATGTTTAGATCTTTGTATTTTTTGTTGGCTGTAATTTCCAGATGTCTACATTACTTCTGTCTGTTTGATTAGAAACTAGCAATATGACTGTATCTATACCGTAACTTTTGATGTGGTTGAGGAGAATTTTGTTTGAACCTTATAGCTAAGGTATTTTCAAGCATTTGGTGTATGCTTGGCAAGGGGATACCCTAGCCTGGGCTGTAAATAGTTGTATCTTCGGGGACGAAGACTTAGAAAAAGGAGGGAGGAATTTAGCAGAATCAGAAAAAAGGAGGGAGGAATTTAGCAGAATCAGACTGGGTCGATCGTTGGCGACTAGGTAGCTTAATTAGTACTGTATAACATGAAATGTTTGTTGTGGATAAACAATCGAACGGCTGTCAAACAAAATCAGTAACAGTTAATGTACACGACAAGGAACCCGTAAGGCTGTCAAACAAAATCAGTAACAGTAAGCTTTTGAATCATGAAAATAAATACAACGAAGTTGAATGATACGCATGTCTACTGTTTGTTTATATAGGATATCCACGAAAGTTTGTACCACGAAACGATCTTAATGGCTTCAAACAACGAAGGAAAGTACCCACAAACATTTCGTGTTATACAGTATAGTGTCCGTCTAGAATTTGGAGGGTCCCAGGTTCAAACCCCGGTCTGCTCGTGCGTTTTTCCATATCTTGTTACACCTGTATTAAAAAACTGCCAATTTTAGATATATTCATGTTAACTGAACTTATGTTAAGAGACCACCTGCAATGAGAGACCACTTTTTAATTTATTGGCTTCCAAACAATGGTCTCTGAATCCAGGTTTTAATGTTTCAGTCATCACCACTAGATAATGTGTTGTATACCCTGTTTTATACCACTTTAGGTAAAGGGTACTACTGCATCAGTCATAATCACAAAGAAGAGTTCCACTAAAGGTTTTAATGCAGTTTAATGGATTACATGGAGTACTCTCCCTTCTGAATAGAAGATGAAGGAACCAAAAGGAGTATTTCTGCCTTAAAGTAAACTTACCCTGCAAGGTTTTGCATGGTCTTTGTGACCAATTAATGGTTCACTAATTTTGATTCTATGTTTGTGAAGTTCCTGTATGGCAACTTTGGTTAAAATATAGGCTTTGTAATGTAAAGGTCCAGAAATCAACAATTTGCTTTTGTTTATTTCTCTTTTCAAATATTCAAATTGACAACTACAATTTTTCAAAAAGCATGGCAACATAATATTTTTCAAGAATGTTTCTTTCTAAAGGAACTCATATTTTGAAAAAAATACTTGGAAATAGTGACATGGTCATAATATAGTATAACTTGATGGTACCCTTGATCGTAAAGGCAAGGGGTCGCGATGGCCAAGTGGTTAAGGTGTCTGACAATCTGCTACCACTAGCCCTCCAGCACAGGGTCATGGGTTCGAGACCTTCGTGGGGCAGTCGCCAGGTACTGACCGTAGGTCGGTGATTTTTCTCCAGGAACTCTGATTTTCCTCCACCACCAAAACCTGGCACACCCTTAAATGACCATAGCTGTTAATAGGACGTAAAAATGCACAAACAAACAAACAAAACAAAATCTTAAAGGCTCTTCTATTCAAGGTCAAATTTATTAATAGTTGGTCGAAAGTCAAATGATGCATATGAGAAGTTTCATGAAAATATATATCATGACTTAGAAGTTGTCCACTTATACGTTCTTACTTCCAAGGCTAGACCTAGAGATTATAAAGGTCAAACTGCTTTTCTTCATCCTTAATCCTTAATTCTATGCACTATGGAAATTTGCAGAAAAAATCAAGCATACACTAATTATTTGTGTCGCTATTAATGTCGAGGTCAATGGGTCAAGCCAGAGGTCAAGATATTCTTGACTACTATACTATTGGGGGAAATTGCATTTAACTTCATAGCCATCGACGGAAAGATGCGTCATCACTACAGAACTGTTAGAATTTAAAAGTGAAATCTCTAAATAATTTATATATTAAAAGAATCAAAAAGACGCAAAAAGAGATTAAAAAGTTTAATGAATATGCAAAACATGGTTAGATTTTTTTTATAAACAAATAATCATAGTAACCACAGAAATCTATTGACATTTCTGCTGCAAGTCCCAATAAAGATACTACTAGAAGAAACTGCAATTTCAAGACGGTGTAGGCAGTCAGATCATTGTCATTTTGTCTCTTCTCCAGCCTGGAATAACGTGATACAATCATTTGAAGCAACGTTTACTTGATTTAAAGGTGTTCCGGGAATATCGTTTGCACTGACACTGAATACTGCACAATTCTATGGAATTTATATGATCTAGATAACAAATAGCTAAAATAGATAATAATGTAAATTGTATATGTTTTGAACAGATGAAATAAAAGATTATGGCCACATGCTTGGTAAGTTTAACATATTGGAAGAAGTGAAGGTCTTTTTTTATTTATAAACTTTGGATCAAACCCATTTAAATACCATTTAAATATCATGACTTTACACCTTTCCTTTTTACAGAAGAAATCAGTTAAATGATAAGTTGACTGACACCGTACCTTTGCATAAGATCACTTGCCATTCAGACAGGTGAGCTAAACAAGAGGCCCAATGGGCCTGCATCGCTCACCGGTATTAATATCACATTTGTAACCTTAAAGTGGACTGAAATAAACGTACAGACAAAGTATCAGTGTCTTGACTATAAGTCATTCGAAAGAACCTGCTTAAAGAGTTTGACCCCTGTGACAAACTTAATAGCAAGAAGCTACCAGCCAAATATTATGATTCTATTCCTTTCGGTTCTTCAGAACAAGTTGTTTCAAGTGTTTAACATATTTGACCACTTTGACCTTGAAAATAGGTCAGGGTTATTTTCATTTTCAAACTTTGTTGGCTCTATCCCAAGAAGCTACCAGTCAAATATTGTGATTCTATGCCTTTTAATTATTCAGAAGAAGTTGTTTGAAGTGTTTAACATATCTGACGCCTGTGCTCTTGAAAGAAGGTCAAGGTAATTCTCATTCTCAACTTTGTTTGGCTCGATCCAAAGAAACTACTAGCCAAATATTGAGATTATATACCTTTTAGTTCTTCAGTAGAAGTCATTGGAAGTGTTTGACTTTTTTACCCCTGTGACCTTGAAAGTAGGCCAATGTCATTTCCATTCTCCCCAACTTTGTCTGGCTTAATCCCATATGCCAAAAAATGTAAGTCATGGTCATTTTCATTTGCAAACTTTGTCTGACTCGATCCCACCAAGTTACCAGCCAAATATTAAGATTCTATGCACTTCAGTTCTTCAGAAGAAGTTGATTGAAGTGTTTGACATATTTAGCCCCCGTGACCTTGAAAATAGGTCAAGTCCATTTTCATTCTCAAGCTTTGTCAGGTTCCATCCAAGGAAGCTACCAACCAAATATGAAGATTTTATACCTTTAAGTTCTTCAGAGGAAGTCGTTTGAAGTGTTTGACATATTTGATCCCTGTGACCTTGAACGTAGGTCAAGGTCATTGTCGTTCTCAAACTTTGTCAGGTTCTTACAAACGGAGCTTCAGCAAAATATAATGCCTCTAGGCTTGTCCATTCTTCAGAAGAAGTCGTATAAATTAAAAGTTAACTAGCCCTTCGGGCAGATGGGCAAAAAACCATAGAGCAGAGGGACAAGGATCCTTAATCGAAACATTAAGTAATATTGTATACAATAAAGATAATTTAATTGAGTAATATAGAATTATAACAGCATATGATGTATTAATTAAATACATGTATGTTAGACGTGTAAAATATAACAAAAATATTGTGCAATCGATGATATACAAGACAAGGACGGATATTTTCTGTTAAATTTTCATTCCGCACAGTCCTTCCTATTCCCTCGAGATATTTTCTAGATGCCATTACACCATGGTGTAAAAAAACAATTGTTTCAATTCTCCCAACTTGAATTTATGGGCAAATTTAGAGCAAGGTCGAGTTTCAAGGGACAACATAGTGCAAAATGAGCTGAATCTACTAGGACCATTCAATAATTTCTGTCACTAGTGCCAGGAATCACAATTATGATTTGATACTTTGATCTTTCTATTACAATCCTTCGAAGTTTCCCCCCTTAGCAGAAATGCACTTTCGCAAACGCGCTACCCATGGCAGAAGTTTCCCCGTGGTATACTGACGAGACATTGGAAGATTGCACTTCTCAGAGCACTACTTAAGGCTAGCCCAAGTTTCCTCTGGCCCTGACACCATACTTAGACATTTTGACAGACCTTTTCATATAGCAGTGCACCCGTGCCCTACACCAGACATCTATCTGTGAAAATGTCAAAAATAATTTTAGAAACAACAATTATTATATTGTAACTAAAAAGAATACTTTTTTCAATGTATGTTGCCGTTCAAATGTTTACTTGATTGATATACACTATATATTGTATATATGTTTATGTACATAAACACTATCATAAAGCAGTTAAGAAACAGAAAATGAGACATAAATTGTTTGATCAATAATTGGGGGTCGTTCGGCTTTTGGGAAACATTTGCATTTAGGTTAAGTACTTCACTGCAACAGAAACAATTGAGAAGAGATTTCCACTTCAGAGATACATATGTTTATTGTTTCAACTCTCCCTTAGATATAGAAGATAAAGTCACGTAAACTGCTTTACCACCCCCTTAAAGTTTGCCCCAGGAATTGTTGTCCTTCCTTTTTGCCATGCCCTTCCTATTTTGCTTACAAATACTCACGTTTCGAACAAATGGAATTCTGTAAAGTATATCAGTAGAACAAGGACGTGCACAAATGTAATATTGCAAATATCAATAATATAAATGTAATTCAACCTAATGGTACCTTTACCTTAAGTTAGGCCTTACTACATTATGTTCCATGGAAAGTCCATTGATAAAATTAAATATTTGAGAGAATTTTCTTAAGAAAATCCTCACAATCATACAAAAATAATATGGTACAGCTGTTTACCCACTTGTAATTCAG